GAAAGAGGTGGCATGGTTTCTTTCAGCATTTAACAATTTCTAGTGAACATTCTATGTATGTTGTTAAAAGTGAAATATATTTATATATATTTATAAATTGTCAGAGATGAATGGTTGTGATTAACTGGATTCACTTTAATGTTAGTGATCAAAGTAACTATCTCATATACTGCATGCCTTGGAGAGAGAAGTGGAAAAAGAAAGAGAATGAAAAAGGTAATAAGAAGCAGCAGCTAGCATCAACAGTAGATAAAAGAAACAAAAGGCTGGCTAATACAGCTACTGTACTCATCATCATCTATAGATATATATATATATTCATTCATGTGTTTTAATATATATATATATATATACATACATATAGAAAGGAAGGGGGGCATTGTATTAACAGCGACAGTGCAAAGGGTGGCAGCAGATCCCATAAACAAGCGGTCAATTATAATGAAATATAGGGTGGTGATAGCTACTGGTCATGGGCGGTGATGCAAACCCTCACCCTCCACAACAGCCGTAAATAAAGACATGTATGCAACATGAAGGAAAAAGAAGCCATTACCCCATTCACCACCTAGCTACCTTTGTGGGCCTATGACCCACCCCCACCTGGACCCTGCCCATCCCATGGGACCTCTCTCTTTCTTTTGTCCTCTTTCTCTCTCTTTCTCTCCCTTATTTAATGCTTTGGTACCCAGATTTGTGCTAAGCTATCTCTATGAAACTGCACCATTTTTGCAGGCCCAGTTGCTCCCCCATTCCTTCCTCCCTCCCTCCCTCCCTCTCTCTCTCTCTCTCTCTCTCTCTCTCTGTCTCTCTCTCTCTTCTCCCCACTCTATACAACCTTTCCCTTTCCGTCTCTTCCTAACCCTACTTTTGTCTTCACTCTACTAGCCTTTACTTATACCCTTCTTGCAATACCATCATAATTTTCATTTTTTTTCCTCATTATTGCCTATTTTCAATAAATCCCGAAATTCAAAACTACAAGTTGTCCAATAAAAACTTAAAATTTCTTCATTCCTTAATTACCCATTTTAAATCTTAATGGTAAGATCAGTTGCATGGAGAGAGTTTTTAAATTTGAAATTAGTGGAATTGAAAAAAATAATTTGTATAACTATAAATTCTAAACTTTTTCTCAATTCTACCTATTCTAAATCTGAGACTTCAATTTTATACCGCTCAACATATCTATAATGTAATTGCAAAAGAACAGGTACTAATGAATAAGGACCACATATGAAGATGATATTTTACTGAAAATGAGAAAGAATGGATCATTTAGTGTTGGATATAATGTGATAGATGTTGGTATTAATATAGGTGATCAAGTGAACGGAGGTGTGTGAAATTGGAATTGGGGTGAGTGAAAAAAGGTCCCCTACTTGATGACTTGTCATTGTTGGTGAATACTCACTCTCATGGGTTGTCTTTGTACTTCCAACCCGTTAATGTGGTGTATGTGTGTGTATAAGAGCCTTTAAACGTCTCATGCTGTGTGGTACCACAGCCCACTGCACTGCACACTAAATGGGATGATATATATCTTAAATGACCCTTCTTTCTAAGCAACACCCCCCACTCTCTGGGCCACCGCCCCCTGGCCTCAGGGTCGTCCCATGCCCTAACTACTTAGTTAACTTTATTGAAACCAGATACGGACTATAGTTGGTATCTAGTTACCATTTATCCACTTGTTCCTAACATTCCCTTTCTTTCTAGTTCTAGTACCACTCCATCGTCCACACCCCATACATACGTTCACACCAACACAAACTTTCCAATATATAAGGTATTGCCGTTACAATGGATAAAATGGATTTATATTTAAGAACTAATATCCAAGCATACAATAATTCAACTCAATAAATTAATGCTCCGTTTGGGGTGTATGAATAGAATAAAATGTCCATTTCAACAATTTCTTTGTTTGGTATATAATGTAAAGTGGGAATGGCCGTTCTATTGGAATGAAAATTCATTCAATAACTAAACGTATGGAATAATCATTCCATTCCCAAGTAAATTTTTTCAAAAATTAACTTTCCAAAAAATCCTCTTGTTCTAAGTCCAAAAGTTACCACTACCTTCCACCTTACCACCACAACCACTAGTACTACCATTGTCTTCCGCCACCAATGTCGCCATCGCCACCACCACCGCCTTTCACCAGCCACCGCCTTCCACCACCACTGCCGCCATTATCTTTCACCACCATCTTCCATTAATTACCACTGTCTTCCACTGTCGCCGCCACCGCCATCACCTTCCACCACCACCATCGCTTTTCACCAGCCACCGCCTTCCACCACTTTCCATCACAACCACCGCTACCGCCTCCACCACTGCCACCACCTTCCACAACCACCACCACTTCTAGTGCCTTCCACCAACACCACAGTCACCTTCATTGGCTTCCACCACCGCCACCTACACCACTAACTCCTTCCACCACCACCACCACACTACTGCCACCACATTCCACCACTACATTCCACCACAACCACCTCCACCTTTCACCACCACCACCAGTACTACCATTACCTTCCACCACCACCACCGCCACCGTCACCGCCACCGCCACCGCCGCCACCGCCACCGCCACCGCCATCACCATCACCATCACCATCTTCTTCCACCGCTTTCCACCACCACCACCGCCACTGCCTTTCACCACTACCACCGCCATAGACTTTTACCACTTTCCATCACCACCACCGCTACCGCCTTCCGCCACTGCCTCCACCTTCCGCCACTGCCTCCACCACCTTCCGTCCCCACCGCCTTCCACAATCACCATAGTCACCTCCATTGGTTTCCACCACCGCCACCTACACCACTAACTCCTTCCACCACCACCACACTGCCACCGCCTTCCACCACTATTGCCTATCACCACCGCCGCTGTCTTCCAACACCACCACCATCATCACCACTATCCACCACCGCCACTGCAACCATTTATTTTTTAAGAATTATAGAAGAATGTCATTTTATTAATTTAATTTATTTATTACTAACAGGGATATTTTGAAGAACTTAATTTGAAATGTATTACATTCTAAATTTTAAATTAGTCTAACCAAATACTAGAATAGTTATTATCATTTCATTCATGCACATTTCATATTTACAACCACACAATAGAATGAGAATGGTCATTCCATTCCATTCCCATTCTCATTTCATTCCTGCACATTTCATATTTACAACCAAACAATAGAATGAGAATTATCATTCCATTTTATTCCCACTTGCATTTCATTTCATTTCTGCACACCAAACGTAACATAAGTGAATGTAATTTGATTATCGCTTGGGGTGTGTACGGCTACATGAAATTGGAGTTTTGAAATTGAAATTTGTAAAATTCGAGATATTTTTTGTTCAATTTTCTGAATTGTTTTTCTCCAATTCTACCAATTTCAATTCTACAATTTCTAGTTTATGAAAACTAAACACTTGAAATTTTAACAATTATGGGGAAAAAAAAAATCTCATTTATAACTTGGAACTCAGCTCTTAAATTTTCAATGCTTTCATAATTTTTTTTTTTTTTAGTTGGTAAGTGCAATATATATTTACATTTGTATAACTAAATTATTAAGGCGTCCTCAGTTATTGGATGCATGTCAAATGTAACTCTTTATATAATTGGTTGGAGGGTGCAAGCTCATGTGTACATGGCACACTTGTGATAGCTTTTTTTAACTTTGTAAATTTACATATGGTTTTCTTTTCTTTGCTTTTCTTTTCTTTTCTTTTTCCGTGAACTAATGCATACCTAATGTCTGAAATTGTTAAATGTAATTTAGATGACTAATAATACAACAAACAGCAATCCATGTTTAGTGGTCACTGGTTCTGTTTGTTTGCATTGACAATAATTATTAGAAACTTCAACCGATCATTTAAGGGCACGGTCTGTTTGTCACCCAACCGAAGCATTAAAGTCTACCATAGAGTATAATCCATCCGATTAATTTCCAATACTTAATGAGTGAGGGCTTAATAATCTTATTACAGGAATGGAGAAATAGTTTTAGAGTGAAAAATGATATTCAAATTACCCTAGAACGCCTCATTTAACCTACAAAAAGTAGTTTTTACCACCAAAAATGTAGTAACCATTCCTATGAAAAAGTTTGCTTTTATGTTTAATAGTTACCAAACCAATTTCGATACTGGAAATTGATTATGGAAGGAAAACAAAGATAATAAAATCAATTCTCACATTCATCACACAAAAAAAAAAAAAAAATCATTTATCACTACTCTACATATATATTTGATGGTGCTTGGCATAAAATTATATAACTACACACAAATATGCCTTTCATATCTGAGTCCCATTATGGATCAAACTGCACTACAACCCAAGAGAAAAATAGTAAGTGCGTCCTAACAGGCCATGGTATATGATCCAAAGGTCCTTCCTAAACTACAATTATTCTTGCAATTTACCACTAAACAGGGTCTTAATGATCAAATCTTTATACCATGCATCCACTTTATGCCGAAAGTTCGACGTTCAAAGTGCCTGAAAGCAAATGGTAGAATCTGCTTGAACCGAAAAAAAAAAAAAAAAAAAAAACCAGAGTAATAAGCTCCTTGATTTGGTTCTAGATTCAAAATTTTCCAACTTGGGTCACTCCAATTCTCGGTTTGGAACTAATCTGAACCATCTACACCTCGAACAAGGCATATCTACATGCCCTCTTTACCTGCTTGGCCTCTCCAAAATCTAAACTGTGCTAATTTTTTTCTCAGTAAGGCATTTTACCCGTGATACAATCATACTACACAGTATTGTGTTCACTGCCACATCCAGTGTCTAACTTCCCTCCCATGTTGGGCAGATGACCATGTTTCAACTCCTTTCGATCAATGCCCTAACTACAATCATAGGCTTCAACCCCATGTGCTAACACTTCTAGTAGTGGTAGAAACACTCTAGGCAGCCTTCTGGTTTTAGTTTCTCTACAATGGTGGAGCTAGATTGCTAGAACCATGAAATTTCTAGTGTGACTTACATTTGTTCGTAAACATTTGGTTGCAGGTATATGAAGCATTTTCTAAGAATAATACATGCTAAGATTAGTATAGACATAATGATCGACGGTTATTTACCTTACAAACCTTTCCCAACACAAAATGGCAATTGGAAATAATCAGCTTACACCAAGGGACAGACATTAAGGGTTCACGTTAAGTACTCCCACTCACCCATCGAAGTTTTCATGTGAACAACACAAGCTCGGCATTTCATAAAACATACAGCTGCTTCAGCCTTTAGCCATAAATTTTGGATGTACTTCTCATTCAACGTGGTGGTTTTCCCTCAGAACCTTTTTACTCATGACCTGTAGAATGCATTCAGAGCACATAGTTTTTGTTTACTAACAAGGCAGGCCACAAAATTAACATCATAATTGCCAATATTAAAAAAATTGAACATATATACCTGCAGTGTAATCTTATTACCCTTCCCAATGCCTGAATCACTGCTTGGGGAAGAATAATCTTGAACTCTATAATCTTCCCCACTCAACACAGTAAAACAACCATTTCGCTTCAAATTTGCCATTCTGATTTTATGCTGGTGTGGAGCACTACCAACCTCTTTAAGCACCTGAAACTTCCCCATGTTAGTGCCCTAAGCAATGAATAATTCAGGTTTACAGTAGTAATAAATGGAAAAAAGTTTAACAAAAACAACAGAATTTATAGTATCAAAAATATTGTTTCTATCACCCATCCAGGAGCGTAAACCTTTGCCCTTTAACCTCCATAGCAGAATCAAGGCAATAAACTAATATTCTGCACCAGAACAAATTAATTTCGACAAACAATTGCATTTAGATAGATAAGGACAAGCAATGGAGGTTTACCACCAAAACAAAATTTCAGCCAGCTCAACAGTAACTTACCAAAAAACAACAGAAGAAACCATAATACCATAATAAGTGTAGGATTTACCCAAAGAATCATTACGTGAATCAGTGTCATTCTTTTGGTAAAAGTGTATCTTGCTAATAAACCAGAATACATTACATGTACACCAACAACCAATTCCTAATTTGAAATGCACACAGACACACATAAAAATAAAAATAAATAAATGAATGAAAAAAAAGAATTGCATGTCTAAACATTGATCGCCCATATCCCAAATTCTGAAATTCAGAAGTAACACCAATATACCATACCTCAAGGAGATCGGTTGACTTCTTAGGCCAGTAAGAAGTTACTGGATGGGATGATTCAGGCATTGGAGTCCTCCGTCCAACACTCTTCTTAAAACAGACATAAAGATTGTTGATTACTTGCTGGAGAGTATTATTTTCATGCTCCATTAATGAATACACGTCATTTGAGCAGTTTTGTACAAGAATTTCTGACAAATTATGTATTGCATTAACAATTGTTTGAGCATCTAATTTTGGAGGTGTAGACAAAGAGTTGGAAGCACCCGCAAGTGTTTCAGTAAGTTCAGTAGAAACTTTAATTCCATATGGAGGTGAACTTGATACATGACCTATTACAAGGGAAGGCACACAAGATAAATCATTTTGTGATGCATCTCTGACATCCTTCACAAAGCCTGCAACATTAGCCCCAGCCACAGGCTTCTCTTCAGAGATCAAGTAATCGCCTAAGAGACTCTGTTGAGCCAAATGAGAAACCTTCTCAGAACTACAATTTAATTCCTTGAGCAGGGCAGGTTCTTTTCTCGTCACAGGGATGTTACTAAAAATTTGAGGTCCGATCTCACTGCCTGCTTTTGGAGAACATAATCCTGCTTTAACAGCATCTGCTAATTGGTGTTCCCTTGAAGATAAATTAACAACTGCAGAATCCATACTAGAAGATGACAAATCATCTCTGAAACATTTATCTTCACAACAATCACCACTTTCCCGTTCGTTACAAGGATAAAACTGAGGCACTAGAGGATTCAAACTACTACATCCTTCTTCCAGACCATTTTTAAAATGTTGAGAGTTTAGAGTCCCAGAATTTTTGAATGGCGAATTACGGAAAGCCAGGGTTCCTTTCCAACAGGGTGAATCCACTTCAGAGTCAGACTTGTCAAACATTTCAGAAGATACTTTAACTTGAAGACCTGTTTTGGCATTAAAAGGTTCCAAAATGATATCATCAGAAAGCTTAGAATGAGTAACTTGCAGTTCAAATTTTTCTTTGCATAAAGGATCCATAGAATCATAAGAGACAGGCTTGCTACTTGAGGACTTGTATTTATATGCCGAGCACGATTCCGCAGAGGTGCAATTTTTTATTTCATTGCCTTTGTCAATTGAAGTATCATCAACATTAAGAAAGACATTAGTTCCCTTTATGCTAGACGGTATATGACCAATACTATTATTGTTGCTGTCTGCAAATCTGCCACCACAATTCTCATTCTTTGATATAAGTGGTTTCAGTGCTGAATCACAATGCTTCCAGGAATTTATAACTGGCCCTGAATATTGTTTCTGAAGTCGAGGAACTTCTTTGAACACTTCAATGGATGTCGCCGAAAACTTAGTGGGGCTGACACTAGAAATTTCCGGTGGAAATAAGAAAAATTTGGTGGTTACCTGTGTTGTGCCTCCTGATCCAATTACGTTTCCACTCAAACTTGAATTTCCACCCCATGTTTTCAAACCTTCAGCAGTGGAATACCCTATAAAGAGACAAGAATGTGGTCAATTTAAGCCCAACTTATTACAACGTTTTCACAAGTACTATTAGAAATTTAGAAGGCAGACATATGGCTAGCTCAGAGTTAAATCATTTTGATTCAAATAGTTTTCTTGAACAAGGACCATTGCCTGGTGCAATGGCAAAATGTCCGCACTATTAAGCATGAAAATACAGGTTCAAATCCTGAGAGAAGCCACTTTTGTAGAAATAATTTGTATCTAGTCTGCCCCTTCCAGCACTTACGATTAAAGAGGATCAAATAGGATAAAGACCCCTTTTAGTTTTCTTGAATAGACTATATTACTCATTGTTAAATTACACAAGTCAATTTGATCCAAGTAGTATTCTTGAATAGCATGTATCACTCATATTGTGTTCCCTTGTCAATATTAATTCTAATCATGATGTACACCCTAAGTTTGTATTGATGGTTGGCTGCCCATGATAAACAAAAGAAAAACACATGGTGACAACTGTTGCCTACTAAGTTGGAAGTCTCACATTTAGAGAGGTGCCATATAATTTATTAATAGAAAAGTGAGAAACGAAGTACTCATGCTTTGTAGATATATGGTATTCCTCACTCTATCTACTGTTTCTATGCATACTTTTGACACGGCTACTTCTTGTTAAGTTAGGAGGAGTACATATATGGTGGGAAGGGGTTATGGGAGAGAGGTGAAGATCATACCGATGGGTACTTGGAATCTCCATAAATCATTTTTTACAATAAAACTTCAGGAACCACTGATAAGCTATTCAACACAATTACTTCTCTAGATCAATCAAAAAAATTACAAAAAAAACCTAGATTTTCTAGACAACCCAAGCACTTTAGATGAGAGTTTGTTGAGTTGAGTTGGGTTAGAGTAGGTCAACTATTTATCCTTTCATTTGGTGGTAATTGAAAATTGTATTTTGCATTTAAACTCAACCTAGGGGTTCTAGCAAAAAAGTAGTAATGTTTCCTCCAGCAAACATGAAGGTTTTAGGTTTTGGTTATTTCTTGGTGGAAAAGTAACTGACATCCAGCAAACTCTCAACTTAAAGTCTTTAACGGAACTTATATTTTGCATGAGCGCATGTACAAAATGAAATTTAAATTTAATGTTCACTGGTATTCGGATAAAAAATTTAAAGGATACCAATACCGCTTTTCCAACTTAAAAATTAAGTTCAGCATATTATCATAATTATATACAATAAAAATGAGCCAAAGAAACTAAAGTGAGAACATCTCTCCATGAAAGTCTCAGACATGGCTTTCCATTTAGCCAATGTTTATGGTTTTTTATTAGCAAATTGCTATGCATACTTTAACAGTCAATTTTTGTTATGTCAGGAGTACATAGATGGCGGGAAGTGGAAATGGAAGAGAGTGAAAATCACAATGGATGCTTGAAATCTTCATAAACCAATTTTTATAATAGAGCTTAAGGAACAACTGAAAAGCTATTCAACACGGTCATTTCGCTAGATCAATCAAAAGAATTGAAAAGTACCTAGATTCTCTAGATAACCCAAGTAGTTGAGATAAGATTTTGTTGTGTTGAGTTGGATTGGTATCCTTCACTTCAATGGTAATCGAACACAAACTTAACCAGGAGAACAAGGAAAAAAAACGATAATGTTTACTCCAAGAAGCATGAAGGTTTTAAATTTTGGTTACTATGACATGGAAAACTAACCAACCTCCAGCAAACTCTAACTTAAAAGTGTAGAAAATGAAATTTAATTTAAAACTCATTGGCATATGGATAAAATTAAAAGGATAGCAGTAACACTCTACCTTAAAAATTAAGTTTGCCACATCATTTTAAAAACAAATGCAATACAAATGAGCCAACAAAACTAACGTGAGAACATCTCTCCATAAAACTCTGAGAGACATGGCTTTCCATTTAGCCAAGATTTATGCTTCTTCATTAGCAAATTTAAGAAACTGAGATAATCTGCAGATCATGGTGATGTGCAAATTTTGCTGTCAACAGCAAGTTTCAAAGGACCACAACCAAGCATCACCAAAAAAATTGATGAAATATAGAAGAATCCCCCTCAAATAAATTCAGTTACACTACTTTCTAATAAACTATACACACATGCCCCGCTAGGTTTGAACCCTCAACCTCCCATTTGGGAGGTGGAGGACATACCATTCATGCCAAGACTTAGGTGGTGATTCCTATTTTATTTAAAATATACTGTTTTTTTATTATTTGGAAAAGGGCCCATTCAAGATTGTCTCTTCTTATTTTCTCTCTTAATATGTAATGAGGTCCCTACCTAAAATCTCTTTTTTATTTAAAATACATTATTTCCAATCCTTTGAAAAAAGACCCTACTAGACACATTTTTTCTTATTATGTCCCTTCCATCACACGTGAGACAGTGTATTATTCTATACACTAGCCCCCGTGTTTTTCAAAAATAATAGTAATAGTGATCTTCCTTAGAGAGGTTTGTCAAAGTAACACCAGCCGCCCTGTGTTTTCAGATATCACACTTACCTCCTTTATCAAATCATGGGAAGATCAATGATATTTTTGAAAAACCAAGGGAGGCTTATGGAATTTTGACAAATCTCAGCGATATTAGAGTTGCAATGCATTTGATTTTTTCATTAAAAGAAATGAGATAATTAACCCCTAAAAAAATGGAGTATAGGAGTACTTTTTAAATATAAGAAGGCCCTTATTTAGACTTTCGCCTGAGGCTTAAACTTGTATTGAGCTTCCCTTTCCAGTGTGCCAATAAAGATATTCACTTATCCAATGCAATTGTTGATATTAGTATTACTTAGTCTTTTACTAATTTTCTACTTTTTTCATATCACTAAGCTGCAGCCACATCAATTCCTATAACCAAAGTTAATTTTTATACGGGGCCAACATTAGTATCACAGGTACTTGACAATATTAAGAATAAGTTGATCACTTAGAGCAACACTCAGCTGGATAAAAATAACAAAGAGGGGAAATAGTAGCACGAGTTTGTTGGATTTCAACCAAATTGTCAAGTTCTTAAACTCTACAAATACATAGTGCACACACATTTTTCGGTGAAGCTTGTTCAGTATTGAATGAGTGACTATACACCTCATGATGAGAATGTAGTTCCCATTAGCACTGGGTGATGAGTTTGATGTTAAAAAATAATTGGAAAAAATAAAAATTAAAAAAATAATCTAGGACTTCCGAGTTCAGAGAAACAAGAGCATAATACAATCAATAGCCAACAAACATAAGCACAGCAAGCAGAAATGCGCAGTATTTTCAGTATTGAAATACTTAGATTAAAGAGGGAGCTATACCTTGTTCTGGCAAGCGAACGCCACAACCACTGTTCCCTTTTTCCAGCAAGAAGTGCCCTCTTAATTCCGGCTGCTGCCCGTAGCCATTAGTTGTCCCCTGAGCACAATGGGCTTCCGTAGACACAACTACAGAATCAATTGGAGCACAATCATCTAAAGAACCAATACCCTGAAAAGGGTGGCTCTGTGAACAGAACCAATCTGCTTCAGCAACACCATTAACGGCTAAAGCACCCTCTGGTTGGTAGGAATCGCCATTGTAGAGACCAAAGGAGACTCCTCCTGAACTAAGAAGATTGGGTGTTGAGGGTTGAGGGAAGGGTGAAGAAGTAAAGGCGTAGTAGGGATAAGGCGGTTCGATTGATGGGTCAAAAACTGAGAGTTTTTGGCGATTGGAGAAATTGATTGTAAAGGGTGGAGCTAATGGAGACAAAGTGGATGACCCAGATGATGATGATGATTTTGATCGTCTGTCTTCCATCGATTTTGTTTCGGAGATTCAGTTCCACTGAATTTAACCCTGTTAACAGAAGTGAAAACAAGAAAATAATTGAAGTTACAAATAAAGAACAAAAATAAAACTACAATTATGAGGTTTAGTGGGGGTGAGAATGAACTACTGATCGGTGAAGAAGGTGCTTCACTAGTGCTGGAAATGGTTGGACAGACGAGACTGCAACAAGTGCAACCCTGATCGTATGATCAACTGAAACCTACACATCAAAATCCAAAACCCAAAAGGCCACTGTCGATTGATTGTTGCAATTGTTCGTGTCTATTCCTTTCCTTTTGACGATCGTTCGAAGGCGAAGAGAAAGACAGAGAGAGAGGAGAGAGAGAGAGAGACTGGTATGAGGTCTCCCTCTCTAATAAATTTATAAATCTTTGGGGGCTTTACAACAGTACCCCTGTTCTTTTGGTTTTTCCCATTTATTCTTGTATTCTTTAAGACTCAGTTTGTTAGAGTGGAAATGGGAGGAAATGGAAAGGAAGGTGATGGGGGGTGATTAAAAAATTGTGTTTGGGTAAAATTGGTAGAAGTAAAGGGAAGAAGAGGGAAGGGTTTGGAGGGTTAATACAAGACTTCTATAGGAGATTTCTTAACGTCCCAAAAATGGGCGGAAACGAAAAGAAATGAAAGGAGAGGCTTGGTAAGTGATTTCTTATGCCAAATTTGTCCTTGATTACACACAAAACCCATACGTACAAATTAGCAGTTGCAGAGAGAAAGGGGGGGGAAGCTTGAGAGTTGAGAGAAAGAGGACTAGCTGAAGCTTGCGAACGGCAAACCCGAATTGGAAGGGCGATGGAAACTGAAATTGGGTTTTGATATGGCTGAAATTGGGTTTTGATTTTTTGAACAATCTGAAATGATGCCGATATGGGTTTTGTAGTTTTGATTCTTGTAGACAAATATATAAACTGAAAGAAATGGGTTTTGAACTTCTGATTCTTGTATTTATAGTTGTAGAGAGAGAGAGATCGAGAGAGAGAAAAAGGGCAAGTTCAGAGTTAAGACGAGAATAGAAATGGAGGCAGGGAGGCTAAAATGATTTGCCCTAAAAATATTATATATATATCGCAAACGTTTTGTTATAGGTTTTTATTTTTTATTTTTTATTTTTTTGCAAATATTACATACTTAAATTTATAAATTTTCTTTTAAAAATTAAAAGGGTATAATAGTAAATTTACTAAAATACTTCCCTTTCCTTTCTTTTCCCAAACATAATCATTATCCTTTCCTTTCTTTTCCTTCATTAACCAACCAAACACGACAAGGGGTTAAAATTATCCTTCCCTTCCCTTCCCTTCCCTTCCCTTTCCCTTTCCCTTTCCCTTTCCCTCATAACTAATGTTATCCTCTCATTCAAACCCACCGTACCAAATATAGCCTAAATTCTCGCTCTCCCCCCGTCCCTTCTCTTTTTTTTCTTTTTTTTCTTCTTTTTTTTAATTGTTGTTCTTATTTTATTTATTATTTTTATTTTTTTGAACAAGTTGTATGATATATTAATAGCGTAAAACATTATACATGTTACATATATTAGTTATAGATTACTGTTAAAAATAATGCAGTTAATTAATATATATATATATATATATATATATATATATATATCATCGTTATTTTTATCTTAATTCCAGGTGAATGACTCCCTCACATGAATACTTTTCTCAAATTTTCTTGTTACATTTAACTTTTAAAATCATGAATAATAACCTTCTCCCCCACATTTGGGGTGCGCGTCACTAGGTGTCTGTTGACTCTCAGTTGTATATATTCAAATCATTTTTAGTTTACTATCTCAAAATTTCTCATCATTTTATATAATATCTATTTTTATATATATTTTTTCATTAATGACCATATCTCTTCTAGTCACCCAACTCATCTGTCTTTTAACATTGTCATTTCCTAAAGGCACTATTCTTATTTTTATTTTAAGCACTTTAAACTCCCTTAATTATATACAAACTTTTGATGCACGACTTCTTCATCTAACATTCTCATTTCCGTTACATAAATGCATTGTTATTGTTATCATTTAAGTTCTGGCATCCCTATTCATATTGAGGTATGGATGGCCCTAAGGAATTAAAGTACTTGCATTAATCTCAAATTTTTCAATTTCAGACTTAAGCCAAATGAACCGGTCTCTTTTCGTTTACTTTTTATTATTATTATTGTTTTTGTTGTATCTGTGCCGGCTATTCCTCTCTCTGTAACGACCTGAACCTATAGATCCAGATTATTGACCGGGTTCCTACCTGAACCTGTGATTAACAAAGGTACAATGGTCTTTTTCTGTGTTCATGGGTACTATTCAATTTAGTACATGGTTTAGGACACTCCAAAAATCACAACTCAAGAAAAAAGGGTCAACATACTGGTCAAAGAGGGAAGGTCAGCTGGCTGATGGCCCATGGTCTGCCGGCTGATGCTAGATGGTCGGTCGGCCGAAACTTTAAGGTCGGTCGGCCGAAACAATTCTCAAAATTACAAGCTCTCGGGACTTCGATACAGTGGATCATCGGCCAACTGGAAATGGGGGTTCGACCGACTGATAGAGGAGGGTCAGTCAACTGGTAGCCCTTATTAGCCGGGCGACAGACCCTGGGAGCTCACTACTTGCAGCTAAAACATTCAATTAACTGGGCTAGCTATGAACAAGCCTTAAAACTCTCTGCAATTCCATATTCACAACAACAACTAACACCATCTTCTCACCATAATTATCACCATACTTTCAAGTAAAAAGTTTCATACATTTAATAGTCATAATATGAGCACAATACTGTCATTCATACATTCCCCAATGATCATGTACAAAAGTAGAGATTTTAATTGCATCATGAGACACAAAATGATATATTGGTAGTTAATGTTTTACATGATGGAATTTAGTTACAAAAGATAGCAAAAAGGTCAGTCTCTAATCCAAGCTAAGTCTGTGGTGGATGATCTTTCGCCACTTCTTTTCCGAGTCCTGAAAAAATGTTAAATAACAATGGGGTGAGCCTAAGTTCAATAGGAAGTGCCTAAAACACAACTCTTGGAACCCAGTGATCCCAACAATGAATAGAGGATATAGAAGCGGGGTCATGCCATACCGATTAAACAAAGCACAAAATCAATGTTTCAAGTCATAATTAAATTATGTCGTGCAATGAAATATAATGTCATGATGTGTCTCTCCCCAATTTCCCAAACCTATCCATTTCATCGTTCCAAAAACCGTTAATGTAACCCAACCCATAGCACCTCTATGGCATCACGAAGAGAGAGTGGGCTAGCAATCCCCGGCCACATGGCACCTCCATGGCGTCGTTTGGGCCTAGGTAGTTCAACTTCCCTGTAGATTACATTAACACCACGGACCATTAGGCGCCTCCTAGGCATCTGGATTTTCACAAACTTTTTCCCAAAACCATTTGCTTTTCATTTAAACCAAAAATTTTCCCAATCTCATGCCCAATACTATGCATGGATGTCTCATGCTTTACAATAATATGTCAATGCCTACTTCAATTTTAACAATTTATACATATTAGGCATGAAATTTTCACATAAACATGCTTTCCCACTTAAGTCATGTAACACACTTAGCATCTAACTCATATATAACACGTAATTCATTTTAGGAAATAAAATTAACACAAATGTAACATGTTAAATCACAAATCATAAAGGAATAGACTCACTAAGGCCTAAGAAGTCGTAGATTAGAGACCCCTACCTCAAATTGATGAACAGCCCCAATTCTACACTCCAAACCCTAGAATTATGATCCCCAAATTGGTGGCCAAATGAAGGTTGGCTCCGACCAAACCGTAGTTCTCGCCGTGCTTTTCAATTTGCCGCAAACGGCATCAAAAAAAGAGAAGGGGGGGGTAAAGAGATTTGAGACCAATAGTGGTCTCTTGGCCATATAAGGATAAGTGGTGGGTCTCACCACTTTTCTTTTGAATTTTTCTTTTCTTTTTAACTTAATTTTCTACCACACATAATTATATACATACACATATATAATAAATTACAACCACGCATAACACATTAAATAAATAAATGTGATGCAATTGGACTCAACCAAAAAACCCCCATACACGACAATTCCGATAGCAAGTCCCACATGGGACCGTCCGGCCCGAAAAAACAGAAAAATGCAAGAATGACCAACCTTACATTTCAAAGAGTCCTGAACTCAATGAAATGCCCCAACCAACTCTCGAATACTACCGGCACACTCCACAATGTCCGACACGCAAAACAAAAAAAGACGAAAATGCCCCTACATAAACAAAAAATTCTAGAAAAATGCAAAATGACGAAATTTAGAAATATTACACTCTCTCTCACCATGCTCTCTTTCCCTCCCTACGTTCAAGTCACCGACGGTCAAAAACTTTTCCTCCAAGCTGTCGCCGCTTGTAAGAATGTTGTGCGTGGGTACCCAAGATGCCCTGCTACCGGTAGCAGCACGCACAATTCATTATAAGTTTTTAACAATGGGTTAAGAAAAACAAAGAAACTAATAACCATTTGAAACCCAATTTTTAAAATATGTAATTGAGATTAAAAGAAAATTAACAACACGGTGCAAATTGAAAATGTGATCACTATTTTCATCAAACGCAGTGCAAATGAAAATGTTACTGTATAATCGAAGCTGTAAACTTTTCCCTGAAAAGTAGAGTTGTTACTATTACATTTATAAAAAAAAAAATTACCCCTTTTGTTCAACACTGATTTGAAAATGTTACTGTATAATTACAGCTGTAAACTTTTCCCTGAAAAGTAGAGTTGTTACTATTACATTAAAAAAAAATTACCCCTTTTGTTCAACACTGATTTGAAATTAAAATAACTATTAAAATGAAAATATTACTAAAAGTCCGTAGTCCAGCGGTACTCTACCTTCTAGTGGAAGAGGTTGAGAATTTATAATTAAAGTAGGTATTTGAGTTTTTAATAAATAATAACTATAAAAAAGGAGAATTTGATTTATGTCCAAAATTTTGTTTTGTACACCTAGTCTTCCACTGTGTGCAAATATAGAAGTGAAAATAATCTTGATATACAGATAAATTAATAGATTGTGTATTAAAGGAAAAGTGTGTGTGTTGAAAAGCAAAGAAATTTTTATTTTAAAAAAAAAAAAAAAAAATTTGAAATTTGATTTGGGTGTCTGTACCTGCTTAGATTATGTAATTTTCATCCATTGCTACTCATTTACAAACATTCATGTGTACAGTTGTGAAGTCAGAGATGAGAGTCATTAACAATAACATGATGAGAAATTTTGAACGAAAATAAATAAAAAGTAAGGGTCTTTTCTGAATTTTAAAAATTATATTGGGCAAATGAGTTAAAAAATGAGTAGTCTTTTTAAATTTTGGATGTTTTTGTTAAATTAATTTGTGAATTTTGTAGAAGTTCAGTGTCTAACAGTTTTATAATTATATAAAAATTGTGTATAAACAAATACAAATATCAAGATTGTCCACCACACGTTTTTAAACAAGGCAGCCTGCCTTCGTGCCTAAGCTAGGCACCTGGAAAAGTCCTCCTGGAAAGTGATAGGTGGAGGGAGGAGGTAGGAAATTCCTGAAAATATTAAAAGTAAATTATAAAGATACTTCCGCTTTTGATTATAGGTTTGGACCGTTTGGTGTCTAAACTTTTCATTTTATTTTATTTTTTTTCTAAGAAAAGACAGAGAAATTACCAGGACATGAAAAACCACAGTTTTACATAAATTTCATTACAAATTAAATTGCCTTTTCAAAGTTTGAAACAAGAAGTGAAAAGGTCAAGATCAACAGGAATGCTCCAATTACTTTACATATACTAATTGCTGATCCATAATTCTATTTTTGAAAAAAAACTCATTGTTGCTCCTGTGATGATTAATTGGCTTGTTCTCTCTCTATCTGAGACCGTATATGAACCTTACACCCTTTCTCTCCCATCTAATCACTAACTCCGTTCTCGCCATAAAAAATAAAATAAAATAAATTTCTCATCCCATGAATTTGATACAATTGAATATGGTTTTGGCCAAGCACTTAACCAGAATTATAAGGTCAAATGGTGAAGTATGATAAATCAGCAATCATTTGAAGTGGTAATGTTAGTAAATCAAAAAGGGATAATTTGTGTAAAAGTCAAACAACTTAATTCATCATAATATTTTTAGGCACATAACAAAGTAATTATAAAGCTGTGCATGCTACACAAATCAAGTGACTAATTACTTAACCCATACAAGCACCTTGAGACTCTGTGTATATTTTATGTTACACACGTAGATACATACATATATATATATATATATATATATATATATATATATGTGACATATTTGGTGATATATATAGTGTACATATATTGTTAATAAAAATTACATGAGACAACAGGCATGGACATTATCGTCGTTGAACATGTTGCTGATTTTGTCATCCCCACGGTGAGAGGCATGGATGGTCCCGTAGTTGTCACCGACATTGTAGCCGTGCCTCCAGTAATTGTAGCTCTTCTTGTAGTCACTGGTCAAGTCTTTGAAGTACTTCTCGCTCGTTGTGAAGTGCATAGGTATGTCAGGGTAAGGCCAGAACTCAGCCCTCTTTCCCGCCCTCCTCACCGCCTTTAGCACCTTGTTCCGATCAACGTATCCGACCACTGTCACCTTCTCCATCTCCAGCTCCACCTCCACTGAATCCACCCCTATCAACACAAACATATATACACACACACACATATATATATATAGATCATTTACCTTTGGGTAAATTATGTATGTCTTATCACAATTTTGCAAAATTAATGTGGTAGAATGTAAAAACATAAAGAATCATATGAAAAGACATGTATTCCCTTTATTTGGACCTTATCCTTAATTTTTCCGTATTCTACAAAATTAGTTGATTCAATTATGTTGATCAACATAACAAGTAGCTATAGAGTCCGTCAGATCGAGCTGTGTGTCTTGTTTGGCATTCGGACTTTGGCGTCTCTTCTTTTTAAATCAATAGACAACTGACAAAGACTACTCAGTGATCCCATACATTGAAAATGAGAATATCATAAACTCGCAAAAGACACAAGCCAATCCCCAAGGAAGTAGAGACAGAGACTAAGGGTGAGCTTTTGAAGTCCTGTAGGGGACCATTAATTGCAGTCTTTACTTCTAAAGGGTGTAGCATGTGTTTATGTGTACGTATATATATATATATATATATATATATATATATGTATGTATTGAAAATTGAAAAGTATATAAATTCGATTTTCGAACAAGTACTGAAAATTGAAAACTAATCTCTATATAATTCAAATATTAATTAAGATGAAAGTAAAGAAGGGTGATGGATGTGTGTATATATACATACCTCTAAGCTTTTGGATGGCGTTTTTAACAACTCTTTCACAGCCAGTGCAGCACATCCTCACTTTGAGCTCAACAGTCTGCAAAAAGATTCAAAAAAAAAGTGTTTGTTCTTCAAAAATGCTGTTTCCACAAAAGTAAACACGGTTTTAAACTTTTTTCTTATTACTTTGTTCCTTTTGTTCCTCTTTAACTACCTTTAATTTATCCTTAGGCGGTTATAGAAAATTAATGAGATTAAGAAAAAAGACATACCCTACTTTTGACTAAACTCATCATTATGCATATATAATATATATGTCATCCAAATTAATTAATTAAATTCCCCATTGCTCGGAATATATATATATATAGATCACCTTTTTCTTATGTGTGTTCATACTAACAAAGCCATAGCCTACTGTAAACCGAAATATCTTGAGCTTAAAAAAAACACAAAACAAAACAAAAAGGGTTTTCTTGTGTGTACATGTTTGTTTGTAGTTGTCTGTGTGTGTGTGTGTGTGTCTATCTATATCTATATATTATACACAGTACACACACACACTTGTATAGTGCTCCATGCTTCATCATAGACTTTAGAGTACTTTAAGCCCCTAATAGACATTAAAAAATAAGGGAAGGTGTTGATCAGAATATAAAGCGGATGTGTGGCTGAATGGATATAAATTACAATAAGTTTGATAAAAAGGGGAAATAGGTTTATTCATAACCAACCTGGCTTTCAGTAGTGTTTTTTTTTTTTTTTCGGGCGTTAAAGGTAAGTAGAGTATATTGATTAAAGAAAATAAGAACTATATATACAAACAAGCCCCAAAGGGAGCAAACAGAAAGCTAGGTAAGATAGACAAACAATATAATAATTGAAAATATAGGTTGTAAGAACACAATCCATATGCTCTCTCTCTCTCTCTCTCAAGCCCATGTTCATGTCCTATGTAAAACATGCACCCCATGATATATATATATGGTTGTTAATGGAACGAAAATTGTAAAGCATGTATGGTCGTTATTTCCATCTCCTGATCGAAATATATGTGCATGGTTGCATGCATGGTCGATCTCTCTATTTCTACAAGATGATCCATAATAAAGAACTATCCACACCAAGGTGCCTGCCAAATACACATGAGAGAGAGACAGAGAACTTTTTTTTATATATTTCTCTTTTCAAAATAGTAATATAAAGTTGATTAAAGGTTAAAGGAAAATGATATATATGAAGGGGAAAAAAAATATGGATGAAAGCGATGAACTTACTAAAAAACAAAAACAAAAAAATAAAATAAAAAGGAAGAAGTTGATGAAAGCTAAAGGAAAACGATATATATGAGAAGGAAAAAAAAAAAAAAAAAGGGTATGGATGAAAGCGAACCTGCAACGAAAGGGGATGACCCTTGGGCATCTTGTGTTCGATGTTGTGGTTGATGTAAGTGTGGTTGATGGCTTTGTGGTTGTCCCAATAGTTAAAGAAACAATATGTGATAGCAGCAATGAAAGAGCCAAACACTCTCTCAATTTCGTTAGCCATTTGCAATAGGTTCGTTTGTGTATATATATATATATAATTAAAGAAGGTAAGAGATAGATATATGAGATGAGATTAGGATGGAAGAGTCCTATAACCCAACCCCAGAAGATATTCCTGGCTCAAAGGTATCGCTTCCTTCTATCCATCAGTTTTTAATCCCTCTTTGTAATATATTCCATATACCAAAATGCGCGTTGTCTACAACTATTCCAAATGCATGCACTATACTTACTTGTGCTTAAATTCATTGTATTTTCCATATATGGCCGCTGACAATGATCGATCATCACTCAATATTTCTTCCAAATAAAACTAAATGGAATAAAAACCCTTTAGACAGGGAATGGTATCTAAACCCTCAAACATTATATATATTAGTGCTTCAAATGTGGGACAAGATATGGCCGCTGACAATGATCATCAACACACAGAATATTAGGTCTCAAGGGAGATAGGTGGGCTTAAGGAAAGAAAACAAAATATTCTGAAATTATCTTTTTTTCTTCTCTTACCATCTTTGAAAGTCACTACACAACAAGCACTATCTATATCTGTATATCTATATCTATATATATTTGTATTTATATTCCCACATTCCTATAAGTTAGCTAGGCTTAATTTCTATCTCACAATGTGTGTAGGCTTTGAGAGAATAGAACCTCTGGGTTGTGTACTTTAAACAGTACTTTAGATTAAATATATTGAAAAGAAATAATAAAATAAAGGTGTAAGATGGAATTTAAATATTTCCACGTAATCCACGAAGATCATATGCTATCCTAGCCAGTATTCTTACACCACAATCGCACAAAAAACCATATATGCATGTTATAAAGATTCCACAACATAGAAAAGAAAATTCATAAATTAATTAACCAAAAATAGAACCAACTGGGGTTTGGTTTCTGCAACTAGAAGTAATTATGTAACTCACTTTATTAATTTAGAGTCGGGTTCTGATACTTGCTGTCCATATTGTTTTGTTCCCACTTAGGCTTATCTTCTGTGATTCTTTCTTTTTCATTTTTCAGGCAATATAAAAATGAATTAATGAAAGAAAAAGAATATACTTTGCATTTGGAAATATCGAATCGATGCTTTGGATTTTGTGTTGGAAGAAATTTAGTACAAAATTTTAACTAAATTTTTTCTACCTCCAAGTTTAAGCGGGTAATTTGGTGCTCCTAAACATAACATGAATGTATCTATCCAAAAAAAAAAAAATACAAGGGGCAAAACCCTCTAAAGCAAAAAAAAAAATACACTAAGAGCTAAGCATAACAATGTCACAATACATAGAGGCCCAAAGGCAACAAAAATACATAAAACGGAGCACACAATTCCCATAGAAAAGGGGGTTCTCGACCTACAGGCATTAACCCAACCGGACTAAGGGTGCTTATGATTCATTTTATGGGGCTGAAACATAGAACCAATTTGATCGCAATGGTTTCCAAAATATTGGAATCAAACTTCCTTTTTAATTTTATGTTGGTGGTTCTTGCTGATTGTAATTCAGTTACTAAATTAATAGATCAATCTTTGTCTAAAAAAAAACTATTTTACTCAATTTATTGTTTTAAAAAACACATAACTAATTTGTCACTATTTCACTACCACTGGTAAAACCTCTAGATTTTTATTATTATTATTTTTTTTTATGACAAGAATGTCAGGGATTAGTAAGTAATGGAGGGAGAAGTGTGTAAGTTTGAAGTCGGGTTCTCAAATACAACGATGATCACCCCTACGCTTGAGCTACGAAAACGCTATTTTGTTGTCAGAAGTGTGGACTTTGTGCATATAGCCAGTAATATCATATTGGCATTTCCGGGTCCATTCGAGTTTTTGGACCAGGTTTGCTAATTAAAGGTTTTCTAGGGCTGATCCAGCCCAAGAATCAAACAACTTGTATACCAATGAACCCATAATTTTCTTTTCTCTTTCTTCATTATTTATTTAAGTTTATTAACTGCAGAAATCTTGTAAAAATACAATTGAGGAATACGTACATTGGGACGAAAAAAATGGGCTATACACTTAATATTTATTTTTTTATATGTTATATCTTTGACAATAAAATTATAAAAAAAAAAAAAAAAAATTGCAAGAAATAGTAAAATAAATCAACAGTATAACAAATAATAAACTAAATTCTGATTTCATGCAAATTGAAATTGTTACAATAATTATGGAAGAAATAAACTAACTAAATATATATAATTAATCAATACCCATGACCTAAGTTATAGAGAGCGAGAGCGGGAGCGATTGCGTCAAAGTCTAAAATTTTTGAAAGCCGGAGCGCCTTAAGAGCGTCTATATATTAGGTTTAAATAAAATAAACGGTCATGACATATATATTTTTTATTTTATTTATTTATTTAAATCCATATGCAAATATATTTATTATTATTTATTCCATTAATAATATATATGTAATAAATAAGTTAATTTTTCTCACTAATAGACGCGTGATTTATTTATAATATTATCCGATTGGAAAGTATTTTAGTAGTATATATTCAAACATTAATTATATATGTATATATATGATAATATAGCAAAGCCAATACAGCTGAGGCATATGTGCAGTTTAAGTAATTATTCTATATATTGAGTAATAGTGAAACTGATAAATGCATATATGGTAATATAGATGTTCCATATCATTGGGACGGTAACAAATTTAGCTGTATAAAGTGAATTAGTATGGATATCGCGAATTAGAAAAATAAATTCACGAATTAATTAGCGAATTTTGTGCGAATTCACTCCCAAATCGCAAATCTCGTGCGGAGCTTGAGAGCGGGGCTACTTTGGACTAATTGTGTGACTAAGCCCATGACATCATCAATTTATCATAAATAATAATAATAATAATAAATTAAATTAATTTTTTTTTAATTCGAATGAGCAACTATGTTTAGGTCACAGTTTTTCGTGTATAGGCTCCCCCCTCAACTAGCGAGGTATGGGTTATGATCTTCCCGTGTAATCTTATATTTTGTGACACATTATACAGTTCCGTATTCTCTCTCTCTTTCAACAATCAAAAATAAATTTGAATACAAAAAATGTTCTAAAACATTAAAGCGAAAAGAACCGAACACCTACTTGTAATTGACTAAAAGAGCCAGTCATTTAGAAGAAAGAAAATGATAAGGACACCCAAACAAACCACCGAATTGGAGAGGCCGTAAAACCTCTCCATCATGGAACAATGCAACGAGTGTCAATTAATTCACGGTCAACCTAAAACACATGTATTTATGAAATATGCGTGCATAAGCCATTGATTCTGAAGGGTAAAAACAATTCAATGCTCTGATGTGATTGAATTTTCAATTTTCAAATTTTTATAATCTCACTTAGCTTTTGTCTTCAACCCTCTTTACTAACAAATATTATACTATTGAGCTTGAGCAAGAGAGAAGACTGTCGCGGCGGATTAGCAGTGATGGTGGGACTTGGACCTGGCACACATGAGGTCAGTGTTCGACTCATCTACCAAGTCTTCTAGTTTCGTCGAAAAATCTAGTGTTGTTGTTGTGGGGCCGACTGTAATATTCCCATTTTGGTGCACCGGGGGTGAGTCCGAGTTCGGACCCTGCCTCATGGAGTTCTGGTTATCAAAAAAAAGTGGAGACCAGATTTGCATATAAATAATATTTAATAAAATTCCTCTCATACATTTTTAATAAGGTATATAGAAATTTTCTTCAAATCCGATTTAAATTTTAAAATAAAATACTAATAATAATCAATAAAACCCAAAATTCGTACAACTCAAGCGTGGGTTCGAATGTTATTTTTCACTTTCACTTTCTTATATGTTTTTTTGGGATTCACTTTTTCACTTTGTAAATAAAAATCTACCACAGTTGAGCTCATTTCGTACACTGGACCACCTTTGCCGATTTCATAAACCCAAATACTTTCAACCATTAGATATTTAGATGGTTTTTAGTATGGGACACGCGTAACCTCCAAAGCCGTTGGTTCATATGTCATTTTCTATATTTGCTGACATATCATTTTCTTTCTTTTTTTAACGTGTAGGATGAAAAAGTATTCCCGTACCGTCGTACACATTTAGAACCACAAATTACTAATATATACTGAGTAATGCTATTAAGTTAAATAACTTTCCTTGAACTATTGATGATACATCCAAATAGTTTTTGAGAAATCAGTTTGAGAATAAACTGCGTAGAATTGAAATTTTAAGATTTAAATTTATAAAATATTAAAAAATATTAATTCAATTTTATTAATTATTTTTTAGAATAATTTCACTGACACCCTCAGTAGTTTGGCCAAATATCAGTTTAAAATATTTTTCGAAAATAATTATTACTCATATTACAAACGTTTGCTCCGTTTTTCACCTTTTATATGAAAAAAGACATTCTTACCCTTTGACTTTGGTTTAACCCAATAAATTATTTTTTTAATGATTAAAATTACATATTTACTCTCATTTGACTTTAGGTTGATTATTCAAATGACATATTTACCCTTCCTTTTCCATATACAAGAATAAATAAAGTGAGTGATCAACATCATATTGGTATTGAGGGCTATTATACGCCATACAAGTGTTCAGTCTTATATATTTTTTTTTAAGGAAATTAATGAAATTTTAAAAAAAAAAGAGAAAAATAAGAAAAATTTTAAAAACTAAAATAGAAAAATAAAATGAGAAAAATCACCATTCATATATTTTTATAAGAAATTAATGAAATTTTAAGCAAGAAAATTTTATTAATGAAATTTAAAAAGAGAAAGAGAAAAATAAGAAAAATTTTAAAAACTAAAATAAGAAAAATCACCCATTCATATTTTTTTTTTTAAGAAAATTAATGAAATTTTAAGTAAGAAAATTTTATTTTTTTAGGAAAATTAATGAAATTTAAAAAGAGAAAGAAAAATAAGAAATTTTTTTTATAAGTGTTTGGTTTTATGATCAATCACCCATTCACATATTTCATCATTACATATATATATATATATATATATATATAGGCTTGTCCTCATATTTTTTGGACAACAAAAGCCCCTTCTTTTTATTGTTTAGCGTATAAATTGAAGTCTATTTCTGTCATTTTATATTTATATTTAATTTATATTTAATTTTTTTTCTCCATCTATCTAATTCATTTTCGTCTATTTCTCTCTCTATCATAAACAACAACATATACACTTTCTATACATAACTAATTGGTGCCGTAAACCATAAACCATAAACTCCAATACTAGAATTCCCAAATCAATCTGTAAATACCCTAATTAATAAATTGAAAGAAACAATTAATGGGTTTGGTTTCCCCAAAATTAATTAACTAACAAAAAAAAAAAAAATTATAATAATAATACAAAAATTCATATACACAATAAACCATATAGAGTGTTTGACACTCTCTTTGATCGTGTACAGAGGAACAATGATGTCTCTGTTCTTGATCTACAGCAAATCGAAGAGGAATAATGAATTGGCAATGGAGTTTTCGTTGGTGGATCGTATCAACACGGAGTGTAAGAAATGGTGAGTCTGAGTGAAGAAGCTCATAGCAGAAAAGTGCGTGTATTCAGATGGAATGAGAAGCTCCGTAAGAATGGAGTTATGGAGGGTAAAGCCCTTTTCATGTTCCGTATCAGCAACAAATTCATAACCATTAACCACCAACAAGAAGAAATCATCGGAAATTCAGAGAGGGTTGTTACCTTCGAGCGCATAAGGCTCTTATCTGATGATTCCATCAAATAACGTTCTTAACGACACAAATCAATTCCTACCCAACACCATCGTATCCTTAGCTCATCAGATTTCTACATACTTCATCTCTCAATTTCGCTTTAGCCCCAAAAATCTTCTTCGCCGCAATTTGCGTAGAATCGTCATAGTCGTTGACGTTGATCGAAGTCGAACGGCCAATTACGGCTTCGGCACTACTTCATCTTTCTGAAAGGGAAAGAGAATTTTAGGGAAGAGTCGTCCTTCATACAGAGATGGAGGGGAGAGAAATACCATGTGTAGGGGTATATAAATCATTTTTATTATCTAATGTTTTAGAATATATGTGATTAAAAAATTAAAAACAAATAAGTCTTTTTTATATTTTTAAAAAAAATTTAAAAAATATTTTAAATTAATATTTAACCAAACTACTCAGTGCCTATTTTTTTTAATTTCACATCTTTTATTCCATCCCACCAACGCATCAGAAACATAGAAATTTTGAAACATCACACATCTGACGTCATACATTCGGAGTCCCATCCTTAATCATTATCTATTCGGTGGCCACGCGTAACAAATTCATTGGCAAACCGACAACTCACACTACTACTGCTATCCATTTCTCTGTCTGTGTGTACATATGTTTATATATTTATGTTTATATATATATATATATACACTCAAAAAAAAAAAAAAAATTTGTAATTAAACTTGGAAGGAATATGATCCTAAAAGTTTAGACTTCAGAGACATGATATTCACCATACTTGCTTTTATTTGAAGGAAAAAAATGAAATAATTATTTTTAAAAATACACATACACCGACCATGTGTAGTATTATTACCACCATTTAAATCAAGTAATCAAACACTTTCCAGAATCATCTGAAGGTTAGAAAAGGCTAATTCTCAAAAGTTATATACATGGTAGTTACATATTCTTCGACAGAATTAAGAGGGGAAAGAACAAAACTCGGATTTATAAACAAACAAATTCAAAATCAAACCTTAACAAACACATAATATTCAAGCAGGAGGGGCTCTAATGAGAGGAGGAGGGGGAAGGGGAAGGGGAAGGGAAGGGGAAACGAAGGGAAGACTGCGGATTATGAGGAAACGGACCCTCCGAGGAAACGGCAATGGTGCGTCGTGGAACAGATGCTCCACCACCCTCGCCAGCAGCACCGTGTACTCCTCCAACAGCTCCGCCAGTATCGCCACCAATATCATCTCTATTTCTCTCTCTAGATCCCTCTCTCTCTCTCTTTCTTTTCCCTTCCAAAACCAACCAAATCAAACCAGATCTTAATTTCCCTGGACTTTTATACTGATACCCAATTTACCTACAGATCGCTCTCTCACTCTCTACCTATATATATCACCAACACACCTACATAGCTATACATATGTAGATATATATAGGAGGCATACTCTCTCACACTTTCTGTGGGTTTTCGTAAGGACAAAAATGGTTATAATACAACGGCGTGAGGTGTTGGGTTCGGTGTGTGGTTTGGGCTTGTACGTGGCAATCGATGAGAACAACTAAAAAAAGTTGTAACTTTAATTTACTTGGAAAATTCTAGTAATATATATATATATTCTAGTAATTTATCTGCAAGTCTCTATTGCATTGATGATGGGTGTGAAAAGGCCAAAAGGGTGATGAATCACTGCTTTAATCCTTATCCATGCCTATCCGTTAAATATAAAATTATATCTTGGATTCATGCATCAACTTATCTCATGCGATGCTTAAATGGTAATAAGATAGTAGTATATGAGGCTGAGCTGTAAAATTAATTGACCTGTTTGAATTATTTTAGTATGAATTTAATTCATTTAAAATTTATTTGGTGTTAACTGTTAAGCATTAGAGTTAATCATATCTTATTTTAAGAAAAAATTTACAAAATTAAGTGTACCCAATTATTCAAAAAAAAATTAGCTTATTGTGATTTTAACAAAATTTTATGCTGACTCTGAAGCAACTCTCTTTCTTTATCCAAAATTGATACCTCCCTTTGAGCGGACAGAATTATCCAACTCATACATATTAATACATATTATATATATACTTTGTTCATGAATACAATATTTATAAGTTTTTTTTTCCTTTTTCGTATTCCAAGTTGACAAATTCTGCATTTTTTATTGATAGATAAACTAACCAAATATAAAAATTAGTGTTTTAATGATTTTACAAAGAGCTAGCTGCTCATGGACAACTTGATCAAAGCTTGAGAACAACTTGAAGTATTACGTTATTCACATATAGTGTAGTGTTTACTTTTTTATTTAAAATGAAAAAATATATTCTAAAAAAAAAAACTGTAGTTGTTAACAAAGCAGCAGGCGTAGCACACGGGATGACTCAGAAGGTTTTATCCCAGAAAACCGCTTTCCGTTTTAGCAAAACTGCCCTTAAAAAAATAGAATCTTTAACGATTTGTAGATATATATATATATATATATATATATATAGAGAGAGTTGATCTCTAGCTATATAAAAATTAATCCACACTTTTTATTTTATATTAAATTAAATCTAACGATAATTTTTTAAACCCACTTACGGTATTTTTTTTTACACAAAACCACTTCCACCATATTTTTAATTTCTATATTTAATTTTACCATTATCACCTATTAACAATAAAAGGTAATTATCAAAATAAAAATAGAAATGTTTGAAAAAAAATAATATCACTATATTTTACTTAAAAAATTATTTTTCTTTAGATGTTTCTTTGAAAGAAAATAATATTTGTGAGTAAAATTATTTTTATTTAGATGTTTCTTTGAAAGAAAATAATATTTGTATCTTTCAATTTTGTAACAATAGTATGATATTCCTGAATAAGGTAAGATCTGAAGTCGCTTGACTTCACGTATTGAGTAGTTTACTTAAAGTAGCCTCTCTTGCCTAGCTGTCTTCCCACGAGGTATTTGAAAAAGTAAAACAAAACACGTTCTATATTGAGATTGACTCACGTTGACACAATGATTTCCAGCCTTGAGTCATCATGGAAGTGATCGGTTCAAGAAGATTTCGCAGAAAAAGATTCAGTGTCTTACTCATTCCTTATTGATAAGAATGGTTGCTTTAACCGTCTGAAAAGACTAGAACTAAGGGTCCACTCTTTGGGCTTCGCTTGACCCAAGCCAACAACCCCTCTCTGCCTTCGATCGGGGTTCACTCCTAGCTCCTTGCCTCAATTCCTTATCCCATTTTTCCTCTATCAGAAAACATTAGCATATTTCGGTATGCCACGAAGCAAGTTCTACTCTACCCGCTTGCTAGCTTACAACAGTTCAAGCTGGGCTCTATCTCGAAACCGAAGATGCTGAACCGTATGGAGAGCTTGCTCCTTGACTTGGTATCATAGCCTAGTTTGTTTGGTCTGGCATGGAGTCAAGGACGCGCCCTGTAGCAACTCCAACAAAAAAACATACATATGGGTGCCTTTCCCGTCGAATGATTCTCTGAGAAGAGTCGCTGACCTGATCCTAACAAGGAGGAAAAAGCCCCTTCGCTAGAATGTCTTTGTGAGTGCCTCATCTTTTCTATCATTCTTTTTTGTTTGCGTATCCGTAGTGAGCTTGGTAGGGAGGACCCCATCTAATTGGCTGGGGTACGAGCGCTCTACTTCATATAGTGTAAGTCTTTGCATATTCCCTTTATTCCTTAACTGGGTGAGGCTCTAAGTCATTTCCCGTGGTATTTCCCTCATCTGACAGCTTATTTGTCCTTCCCGCGTAAAGGGACTACGCATACTGGCCCACAGCGTGTAACGAAGTGCTTGGCCAGCCAACCCTTTCTATGTCAACCTCAAGACAAGCTTCCACCACTCCGTGGTCGGTGACATTGGCTAATGTGGGTACGGCCACTTGGGTTCGGTCAGAGCCCTCTTAAAAGCTGGCTTCCCCCAAAGTTGAAGAAGAAGAACTTGGTTGTTGGGTACGAAATCTATGAGACGATTCCTAGTTTTGTCGTCTTGCTATGCCCGTCTTTCCTTTGTTTATGAGCTCTTTCGAATTCGTCATATTGACTTATAAGATGTGAAGATTTTGTTTAGACGAATATACGGAGCATCAATGAATGAAATAAGCCTCTGACTACCGGGGTTGCGTTGAACTAGTTGTGCCAGCACCACCTCGCTTTCATCAAAAACTGGAATGTGTTCCGGCGAGTTATAAGGATAGGTATCCAGTTTGTTTTTCCGTAATTCAACACCTGATCTCACTTGTATTGGAACGTGCAATGCACTAAGTCCAAGGTTGTCTCTAGAAAACAGGAGGAGAGGGGAGGAATAACTAGTACATTACCGACTGACTCAAGAAGTGGACACACAGATTATGGTAAGAAATGAGCTAATAGTAGTCAAGATATACTATCGAAGTTCAGATCCGTAACAACGTAGTAAGACAACGCTTTGGCCGAGAGTGAAGCACCAAGTTTGCTTCTTTCTTGAAGAGTTCGTGTGTCTAGTGGCGTAGGTTCCAATAGAGGAAAACCGAAGAGGGTTGACTCAATGGGAAAACCACCCGAGAGATTGATTTCCTTTTGTTTGTCCCCTTGTAACCACAGCCATAGAATTGATGTTTGATTCCGGGGACTTAGCGAAAGAAGATATCGATTAACTGATTGACTGCACCGCGGAATGCTAGACTGAGAAAGGGAAGGCTACCAGACTGATACAGGAAAGGAAGATCTATTTCTAAAGGAATCGGTATTCGTGGACGGATTGCCTGCCTATCTTTTATGGCTTCGCCTGCCTTTCACTCCTCTTCTCTTAATATAATATATTCTACTGAGCTAGCTACCTTTCTCCGGCTAACGCGTATCCGTTTTCTTGCTTCAAAGAGTCCCTTACTCACAAGTAGTACAGTTAGAAAGGAAAGAAGAGATCTATTTAATAGAGATATCACTTAACCGTTAACTAATACAGAAAGAGCTTAACTGATTGCTCGAAAGCCCTCCCTTCCCTTAGAATATAAACTTAACCAACTGCAACTGATTCACACGGTAGGACCCTACCAACCAAAACTTTACACACAAAGAGACCTGGAAGACAAACGAAAGACTGAAGGAAGATGGTAACCTATCGTTCTACAAAACCCCTACCGGTTGCATTGGTTAGTAGATCCCCGCATCAACGCTCAGGAGTAGAGACCTTCATATTTAAGTACGGCTTTTAACCACACACAAAGAAGGGCCTCCTGTATGAGTGGCATCAAAGACACGTTGACTTACAACTTTGAAAGATCAAAGACGTTTACCTTTTCGAAGGGAAATGGGAAGAGACAAGTCTAAAACAGAGGTACTCGTCGATACGATAGGTTGATTTACGCTTACCAGTCATTATAGGCATAAAGCCTAGTGAAAGCAAGGGTTGTGCCCTATGTAGGTGTCAATCTGAGAAGGTGATTTGTTAACATCTACTAGCAGAAATGGAACTAGCTCTTTTCCACTGCCAGAAGGTTGGCAACTGCGGCATTATATACGCGTTTAGTTATGAGCACGAGTTGAGGAGCGATTAACAAAGCTAGCTCGTTACTTAGTTTGAGCTTGCCTGATTGATGAATAGTGTTGCAGGGAAGGACATGGAATGAGAGATCCGAGTTTCTGAGAGATTGGAAAAGAAAAGCGAGGGAGTAAAGACAGAATCACAGGATCGGACTGATATAGATAGAGGGATGCTTTTAGGACTTCGATCTAGAGAAAGAAATGGTTCGACTTGCATGTGTTAAGCATGCCACCAGCGTTCATCCTGAGCCAGGATCAAACTCAAAGATTCACTAAGATTACTGATAGTACGTGGTCACACCTGGTGAACCGGGAGAGGGAGAGCGAACGAACAATGCCTCGAGCTAATGTGCAAAAAGGTGCTAGACGGATCAAGTGATGAAAACAAAGAGCGGAAGTCAAGAGAGAAAACAAGTACAACGAGAAGCAAGCTTCTCTTTTCAATTTCTGTTTGATAGTACACTGCATGCCTACCCCCATCTCTGGTAAATAGGGGGATTTTTGACACAAAATAACCTACAATAAAGTAGGCTAAAGCTCATTGCATTAACTTCTTCATATTCTCATTAATCTCTACTAAATCAATATAAAAATGAAGGATTCCAACCAATGATCCTCCGAAGGCGCCCGCCCCCTTCTCGCGGATCTTCCTGAAGAACCTTCTGAAGAATTTACAGCAAGAAATGGCAGAAACACCTCTTCACTCGCTTCCTCAAAGGGTAAGATGAGGGATCAAGCAACGGGGACTTATCCCGTTGACCCAACAGATTAGTGAGCTTGTATTCCATAGTTGGAAATCCCTGTAAATCTTTGTGTAGAATCAATTCCTTAGAACTTGGCCACTTCCTATTGTAAACTCTTACTGGTATGTCAATTTGATAGCCTTTTGCACGAGATGACCCTCTCTCTCTAGGATCCCCCCCAATCTTGGCCTCCAAGCGTGGGGTTTCAAGTAAACAGTGTCGCGCGT